CTAATCAAGATCCATTCTTTATTGGATGTTTTTTTCATCCGAAATGTAAAAAAAAAAAGTGATTTCATGTCATAGATTAACTTTTGATTTGCGAGGAAATATATTCCAATTGTTAGTTTTGGGGATGTTTGTAGTGATAAATTTTACAGCTGAAAAGCTGAAGCCGTCGGTGCATAAGTCAACGCTTCAAGTGATGGATACAGCTGAAGTTGAAAAAGCTCCTATGCTATATGATGTTAGGTATTAATATTATGGACGTTTTGTTTACTCGAGCATTGCAGTATTTTAGCTTGCTATTTTCATTTGGCCATACTTTATTCTTGTTTATGTAGCTAACAAAATATTGCTTTAGTAGTGGTTCAGGCTCAGGTTTTGCGAGCTTAAATCAACGCACGGTTGCCCAAGATCTTCAGTTCCTATCTGTAGTAGGTAAAGGACGCTATGGCGAAGTTAAGAAGGCACGTTATCGTGGTGATCGTATTGTTGCCGTTAAGGTAAACTTGCTATTCTTCGATTTGATATCTTTATTTTAGGGCTATTATTTGTCTTCCGATCACATTAATTTATAAGATTTTTTTTTTATAGACATTTTATACTACAGAAGAAGATTCGTGGAAGAATGAAAAAGAGATCTATCAAACACAAATGTTAAATCATGAGAACATACTACGTAAGTTTTCCTTTAAGTAATTGCTGTGAATGAAACATGAATGAACAACGTTGATTAGCTTCTAAGAGTTGATTGATTTTGTTGTCTGTAGAATTTGTTGCTGCGGATATTGGAAGCGAGGATTCGATCACTCGAATGCTCCTGATTACGGATTTTCATGCTTATGGTTCTCTTTTTGAATATTTGCAACGTGGAGAAACTCTCTCTGTGAGCGAAGCTCTACATTTGGCTTATAGGTAAGACACATTTTCAGAAGCAATTACTCGTTGTGAAGAAAAGTCAAAACTAGAAGGAGTAGAACATAAAATTAGTAAATCTGTTGTAAAAATGAAAATCTCTAAGATTTTGCTTCAAAAAGTTGGTCCATGAGAAATGATGTTAAAAATTTATTATCCCAGTGCTTTGAGTTTCAGTGCAGTTTGCGGTTTGGAGCATTTGCATAGTGCTTTACATGGAACGGGCACACCGCAGAAACCGGCTATTGCACATCGTGATGTGAAATCAAAAAATATCATCGTTAAAAGGCCTTATGTTTGTTGCATAGCTGATTTTGGATTAGCATTAACGTAAGTATATGTTTTTTAAATGTTGCCTTTACGATTTTAGTTGTTTATTGAGAAAGTTTCTGAAATTTGGAAGTAATTAACTCTCTTAAGAAAAAATTCTGCAATGTACTGTATTTTAAGCGAAGATATGGTGAAAATTAGAACAGACATAAATATACAAGTTGGTACCAAACGATATATGGCGCCGGAATTACTTGATAAATCTTTAAATGTTAAAAATTTTCATCATTTTAAAATGGCTGACATTTATTCATTCGCACTAGTTATTTGGGAAATTCTACGACGAATTCAGGTCAGTTTAAGATGGAATTTTCTCTTTCATTTTGTTCCTTTTTTCTGCTTTTAAATTTACATTTTAAATGATTTAGTTAAATAAGGAAATTTCATTCTTCAACTAGTGTTTCGTTTCGGTAATTACGGGAGACGATGAACAAATAATTATACCATATATTGGAACTTCATTCCGGCTTTGTCCATGATTTAGTTCAGCACTTAAGGAAAGCTGAATTAGGAATCTTCCGCACTAAATCTTCTGGAGAAGGTGTTGTTGTGAACTTTTGTTTAAAGATATTTGTTTTAGTTGTAATACTGGTAGGGTGAACTAAAAGATGTTTTTATACTATGGTTTTCCAGGAAGACAACTGTCTTTCAAGAGCTTCGGAAAGTGACAGCGGCATTGGAAGCAGTGGTAGTGGAAGTGGTACGACAAAACTTATGTCTGAGTTTATTGCCAATTCTGATGCATTCAGATATATCACCAATTTTTCGAACAATGTAGTGGATCATCAAAGTATTTCCGACAATTCCATGGTTAGTTTAAAATTCAGTCTTTTATGTTCAAGTTTCTTGTTCAAAATAAGGAAATTTTTGGTGTGTGTATATTTGAATACTGCATATACACAAGTTATTTGTAGTCATTAAAAGCGCGACCTCCGATGCAACCATTTGATGGTATGGTCGATCCGGATCCATCATTCGAACAAATGCGTAGGCTTGTTTGTTTCGAAGGCAAGAGACCATTATTGGAAGATGCGTGGATCAGAGATGTAATTTCTTTTTCATTTCTAACATTCTATTTCTTGACCTGTTTTGGTGATTCAGAATTCACTCGAGTAAATTTCTTTAAATTAAATTCCTAAACTTCTGGTTTTAAAGGTACCATTAAAATGTTCTGCTTCTAGCCATGCCTGAAAGAAATCTGTGAACTGATAAACGAATGTTGGAGTGCAAGCATTGACTGTCGACATACCGCACTACGTGTCAAAAGAAAAATCAAAGATACAATTTTGGTATGTAAATTCACTAAATTTTTTACTTATTTCTTCAAAAAGTTTCGAAATTTTATTCATCGATCCAAACGACATAGAATATTTAAGTTGATTTTCAGAAGCATAATGGTTTGGGTGGTACACAGATTTCTGGACCCAATAAACAAGACTGCTCAGCGAAAGCTTTATCTGTTTAGCATGTGAAGCTGTTTTCCTATGTTTCTTTTCAAAATTACTTTTATTTATTCTTTGTTTTCTTCCATATTCAATCCACTACGCAAGATAAGTAGTGAATATAGGGTATAACCAGTTACGTTGAATTGCATATTTTCTATGTTATTGTTATAGGTAAAAGCATTAGATGAGATTTTTGTGAAAAGGTACGTCTGAAAAATGATATGTTCTCATTTTTGCCTTTTATTGTAGTAGTTTTTTCTGCCTTTTATCGTTTCGCAGTAACATACAACTTTTTCCATATTTCAAGTTCGCTGATCTCACTGAAAATAGAGCAGTGTTGAGACTTTAATGTGCTGATTTGTTAAACTTTTGCAGCTGTTCTCTTTCCAATAGCATATATATCTTCCTTTCATGTATTAGTGATTTAAATATCATTGTTCTCATCATATATTCTGATCAGTATATTTCAGATTTTATTTCATCTCATGATCCTTTTTTTTTAGAAAAAGAAAGTGGACAGAAAGAAGTTGCTTTGTGGGATTTAGAAAGCAATGAATGAAACAGCTAATTTTAGCTCATTGTTATGTAGTGTCTTTGTTTTTATTTTTCTATTTTTACGGGATCGTTGTTAATCCGTTGAAGGCTTGTCTATCAGTTTGTTGATTTTTTTACTAGGCCTTATTTTGAGTATATATATATATATATATATATATATATTGCATGATGCATTTAAGTGTCTTTTTTCTCACTATAAAATGGTTGTTGTGTATTGTTCTGTTAGATTTTTTTTCCTCAGTGATAAAGTCTTTGAATTTCAACTTTTCTGTCCATTGATCTAATCTACATTTTGGAAACGGCAATGAATGGGTATGGATTTAGTAGAAGCAAGAAAACATTCCAAAAAGACGAAATGAAGGTTGAAATAAATTGTTCAATATTCTTAGAGTAAGGTATTCAGAAATCTGAATGTCATTCAGAGTTATTGATATCGAATTGCAATTCTGTGCAAGTGGACTACATGGTTGTCGGGGTTTATTCATTTAGTAAGAGGATGGGACGAATATCTTTGTCTTTTTTCGAATTTCATCTACAGTAAATCATAGCAAAATTTCTCCTTTAAAATTTAGTAAAATTAAGATAGAAGCTATATTTTTATTGTAGTCTTGAAAAATATGCCATTTATTGGCAAGAGTTAGAGTTGTGTCAAAAGACGATCGATGAGTAAGTAATCACTTAATGATGATTTACAATAAATAGTGATTTACAATTTTCAGGAGATATCATGATCTCAATTTCTCTTTATCTCATAAAGAAGGGTTATAGATTTTTGGATGATATGATGAGAAGGGGATTATAGCTTAATTAGAAAGAAAAAGAAAGGCAGACTAGTGCTGAACGATGGAAGCAATAAAAATAAGGCGGCACCATTCAATATTACTTTGGTGATACAGTTATCATGATTGTAAAATGCTGCGAATGATCCATTCTTACTTCAAGCGACTCTTATAAATACCATCTTGCCCTTTTAATATCACATACTTTGTTCAATACTATAAATATACGAATGTCTTCCCAAAACTTCATCTTACTTCTCTTAATATTCACTTTTTTCAATTCATTTTCAAATTGTTGGTGGTAAGTTTTTTCTTTTTCTTATATTAACTAATTCAAAATATATTTAATTATTTAAACCATTCAATTTAAAATCATTTCAATTACTAAAAATCTATTATTAGAAATTTTATTTTATAAAGAAGGAAAATTGTTAAAATAAATTTTACTCCTTATTTTACTTATTATTTTTTTATAATCTCTTTTTTCGAAATTCTTAGTAAAAAATAAAATAGAAATTTTTAGGGAAAAAAAATGTAAAGATAAAATGAAAATAGGAATAAAATAAAAATGAGAGAAAAGTTAGTAATGAAATTATGGATATGAATAATATTTCCAAATGGATTAAATTAGATTGATGATATTTTTTCTTATGTGATAGGCAATGGTTGTATTGCAGTAATAATATTAAATTAGCAGTTGGACTTACATTTAGTAATTAATTCTTTTCGGATTCAAGTAATGTTTTACTTGTAGCAAACTTAACATAACTATACATCGTGCTGGAAATAGTAGTAATTCTATGAACAAGTAAGTAAATTATATGAAAATGAAAAATTTATTTTGGAAGTATTTGTTATTGTCATAGTTCTGATTGTTATCAATCTGAAATATCTGTTAGTTTAAAATTTATTCATAAGAGGATTGTGTCATCAATCAAAGATTGATAAATCTTATGAAATATTAAATTAATTAGATTCCTTCAAGATGCCAATGTTGAATTATAGTAGAAGTACTAATTTAGTTTTACATATGATAGATACTATCATAAATGCAAATGGGTTAGTTCAGTATATAATGAATGTGTTGTATGTAATACTTGAGATAGCCAGTTGTCCAGTTATCCAGTTGCTCCAACTTTTTAATATTTGTTATGAGAAATGATGCTCTTTAAAAAATAATTAATCAATTTAATTGAATTTTAGAAAGATGAGATAAATTATAATAAGGCAGAAATGCTCTTGCCTTCATCAACTTTAATATTTTATCAGCGTACAAATCGTTGTACCATTAAAATATTTGATTGATGAATAATCTATTGGTATTAAGTGGTAACATGTTATATTATTTAAAAGTTCCTCCTACATTTCAACTTACTTTCATTTTCCCATCATATAAGAGATGTTATAGTTTTTTTACGAAAGTTAAAATAATAGGAGTAAAATTATGATTTGTATAATTTTAGTGCACCAGGTGTGCAATGCTAAAATATTGGTGGCGATGATGCTTTAAGGGTTTTTAAAGGTCAAAGGAGTAGAAAACATTAATTTGATGCAATGTTCGGTTGTAAAACCCATTGCGGCTAATATGACGGATAGATAGATATAAAACATGTATCATAAATTACGTTTTGTGTTGTCTTCTGCTGTCCAATTATTATTTTTTATCGCTTTTTTTGATAGGGAAAAAAATCGATTTTTGAATTAACTATAAGTTCGATAATCTATTTGAATATTTTCACGAATTAGTTCTACTTGTAAATAATTTTTTAGAAATACTGAAGTGATAAATTAAAATTTTTAGGTAAGATATCAGTTGATTACCGTAAGACTTAAAAAGATTGAAATATTATAAGAATTATTAGAAATATTTATATTTGAAAATTAATAAGAATTATAGGTTGCTTCCGGAAGCACCAAATAATGTATTTCGTGATGATGGTGTCCTTTGTGGTTTATTACCGGGATTGACAAGAAAACAAAGTGATCTATGTTTACGACATCGTACAGCGATACGTTATGTTGTAAAAGGTTTGAAAGCTGCCATACATGAATGCAGAAATCAGTTTCATTATCAGCGATGGAATTGCTCAGCAAGTCATAATGGTTTCGCTATTTCTCATCTTAAAAGTATATTTTAAATACATTTTTGGGATCAAAGTTCATTTTTATTCGATATCAATAGTATTTTTAATAAAAATCCGACCTTTTAGCATTGAATTATCGAAGTTTTATCTTTTATATTCTTCTAGTGATAGAATAAATCATATAAATTTGTAATTCTTAATTAATATTAAATATTTCTGTCTTGAGTGAAAAATCAAAAACAATCATTTTTTTCAAGAAATAGTTGAAATTTTGGAATTATTCTTTGTAATAAAATATTTGGTAATCTAATGATAATAAGTGATAATCTAAAAATGAGAAATCGTTGTAGATTCCATCATATTTGTGCTAAATTTAGGATTTGTTATTATTGTAATTTGTCTTCCCTGAAGATATTTCAAAACAGATTTGCTAAATTGTTTAGTTGGAAGTAAAGAATCCGCTTATGTATTCGCTTTATCATCTGCGGCAGTAAGTCGTGCATTAGCACGAGCATGTGCGCAAGGAACAATTGCAAGTTGTAGCTGTGGCTCACATCCGAAACGTATCACAAAACAATTTCGATGGGCTGGTTGTTCTGATAATGTTAAATTTGCAAATAATTTTGGACGTAAATTTATGGATGCAGCTGATTCACCACATACTAATGATGCACGGTTTGTAGACATTTTTTTATTCGACACAAATGAATTAGTTATTTGTTTGTCTTATTTACTTTTATCTCTTCATTAATTATTTACCTGTTAAGTATTTAACGTTAGCAAATGATTTACAACAACAGAGTCTATTATTGACTTTCGATAAGTAATTTTGATTAGTTGCTTGCACTTATAACAAAAATAAATGAATGTTATTTATTGAAGTAATTAAGAATGGAAACAAAATTTCCTACGTAGTTGCATACTGCGAATTTAATTGCAGTTTAATTATTCCTATTTATTGTTTCGAATAATTGGCAGAATTTCAAGTGTTTCCTTGTGTCTTTTTTTTATTTTTATAAATCAGCTAGAACTAACTCTAATCTATATTACCATCAAAGTAGCAAATAGATCAAGTTAACTGATTTAATATTTGTTACCGTGAACTTCTTTCTGGAGCTAATGATTATTTTTTTTAATGATTTTTATGATTATGATTGTGATTATAATTATCAGTTAACATTATTGTTCTAATATCTGTACAAGTAATTCAGAAGAAATGAATTAGGGATGTTTTTAAAAACAATTCACATTTTAGTTCGATGATGAATTTACACAATAATCGTGTTGGACGAAAAGCAATATCAAGCAACGTTCATCGTGAATGCAAATGTCATGGTGTAAGTGGCTCATGCGTGATGCAAACATGCTGGAAAGTTGTACCGAAGCTGGAGGAAATTGGCTTATTGCTACGAAAAAAATATTCACATGCTGCTAAGGTTATTATTGATTGTTTTCTATTCATTCATAAAGTTTAGTGAGAGTGAAATTTAAAAATGAATGAACATATTTAGGTTAGTGTATCATCTGAAGGTAAAACTTTGGTACCACGAATGGAAAGAATAGGAAGTCGTTCTGGAAGATATCTTCACAAATCCGAACAAACATCGATCTTAGACAATGAACTTGTTTATTTGGATGATTCATTGGATTATTGCAAGGAAGATAAATTAAACGATATTCGAAGTCCACAGGGTCGCGAATGTTTTGACAAGTGTAATATGTTCGTTTTTGTTACCTTTACAATATGTTTGTTCTTGTGACCTTTACATTTGGAAAAGATTTGTTAGTGGTAGAGTTTAAAAAAAAATTGATGAATTTATATTGGTTGAAAATGTGGAAAAAATCCAAACAAATGAATTTAAATATTAAGATTCTTACGTTATCTTGATATCGAAAAGTAAAGTGAGTTTTTTTTATTAAATTTGGAAATTTCGAAAAATGTTCAAATCAAAAAATTCTTTGATTAATTGCAGGATATGCTGTGGACGTGGTCACAAAACAGTACGTGTGATAGAGGAGCAGCAATGTGATTGTAAATTCGTATGGTGTTGTGAAGTAAAATGCGAAACATGTCATCATATTGTTAGCCATAATTTTTGCATATAATTGGAATTTAACAAAAAAAAAGAAGCATAATTTTATTGTTTTAAATTCATTTCTGATTATATTGTAAAATTAGTAATTAAGTAGTTGTTTAATTGTCATTAAAATAAATTTTCACACTGCAAATAAGCTTAGCTATCATTCAGTTCAGAAATTTTCATTTTACAATTTTATGATACTTCACGTATCTTAAAATTGGATATGAAAATTAGAAAAATTGGTTGATTCATTTTTTCCTTTATTTTTGAATTTAAAAAGCCTAGGCCATTTCAAGCTTTTTATATACTAAAAAGAATAACTATTTATTTGTTATTATACACGAGTGTATTTTGTTTAATTTTCATTTTAATGCAATTATTAGATTGCATAATAAATAAATCTTAAATTAATTCATAAAATTTAATAGAATTTACTTCATTGTTAATCTAAGATCTCTCGGAATTCTCGGATATTATCTAATCGTATAAATTTACATATCATCTTAGAATTGTCAACAAATAGAGGAATGGCAAAAGAAATATATTAAGAAAATTAATAAACTGATATTATTTGTTTACTTATTGAAACTTTTTTAAATTCTATGCTTACATTTAATATGTTATATTCATTGTACAAAATAAAATGTTTTAAAAATGTTAAAAAAAAAAGCCTTTTATCATTATTGTAATTAATATTGATTGATTTAATTTTGAATTTGTGTATTTTTCAGTAATGTTTTAAAACTGAAAAATAATACTAAAAATTAGCTAAATCTTATTAAGTCTTCCTTTTGATTGATAATCTTGAATTTTTGCTTTTATATTTATAAATTTTCACTTAGAAAATTCAATTACAACGAAATCGAATGATTGATTATGTTTTGAATATAAGCATAATTTTAGAATTTTATGATGAATAGCTTAGATGTCCTTATTGCTTCAACCAAATCGAATGCATTAAGTATCGTTTGCTTTAAGCGAAAATTTTCTGCTTTAGCCATAAAATTTCCATCAATATGGTTGCATCCGACCTATTTCCGCTATTATCGTATCTTCGAAATCATAATGTATCATTCTGCTCTTCTCTCCATTATTTAATGTATCCGGAAAAAGTAAGCAATTTAATGTCGCATATTCCATACTTTATTATTTTTCATTCTGCTTAAGGAATAAAGATCGATAGATATATAATTTGAAGATTTCCGCTTTTCAATGATCGCTTCATAATTAGCTTTAAAGTGAGCTTATATACAAACTAATGCATATTTAAATTGATTTCATATATTTTAAACTAATATTCAAATGAGATATTATTTGTTTATTATCTTATAACAAATAGAAATTCAATGAGAAATATGCAATAAATAAAAATGATAAATGAAATTGATTATATTTTGATTTGTTTAAAAAAGTTAATTCAGTACTAGGATGAAATTTTGAAATTACTTATCAACATATAATGTACGTAAAGAGTTTTATCAATCAAGAATCTCTCGGCTGAAACAATTATTGTGAAGTTTTATCAAATTATTTCAACTTTCTATTTTATAAGCACTCAATCATATAAGCAATGATATGACCTTTAATTTTTACGTTTTTATTAAATTAACGAGTCTGATTAATTTTATATTAAATTTACTAACAGATATCACATATTTTCAGTTGAATAGTTGTTTCCATTATTGATTTATCCGCAATAACGAAATGCCTCATAATAAGATGTTATCACTAAATGACCCCATTTATCATGAATATGAAGAGATTATCGCTGTAAAGATATTCTATTACTACAAAGTTTTTTTTTTTCTTCATTACCACTTCTATGGAAATAATTAGCTGTAAAAGTTTGTATAGTTTGATATATCAAAGAAGGATACCGCTTGAAGTAGCAATTTTATTATTACAATATTGTTTCTTAGTTGAATTTTAACCTCTACATTATTTTTTTACGAATCAATCTGACGGATTTTAGGATTTATTTTATTTGAAAGCTTTACAATTATTTTATTACCACAATACCAAATTTTGAAATGGATTTCTGATCTGTGTGATTTAAATAAATTATATTTAATTTAATTTACTTGATAATTGATCTAATCTAGTTAATATCTAGTTGAATGTTATAAATGGTGAAAATAAAGAATAACTGATCTAAACTAAGTTCTTTTTTACTTCATTTACTTCTTTTCCAAATGACCAAAGGACAAAGTAATAAGTATTAGATTGATGATATCTCAAATCAGCAAAACTTTTTCCATTCAAGAGAAACAAAAATTTTTACAGATTGAATTCAGACTGAATTTAACATTGGATGTGTAATATCTCACTAAACCAATTTGCTGTTATCAAATTTTGATATAGCAGTTGAGAATTTCAAAATATTTTTGATCCTATTCTATTGCATTGAAATTATAGATTAATTATTACAAACAAGAATGTATTGTGAAATAATCTGAAAATATATAAAAATAAAAATATTATCTATTAACATAAATATTTAAAAGACTATTTATTATATTTGCAAATCTATCATAGGACTTAATTGCAATGACCATTGGTCATTCATTCAGTTGAAATGCCGGACTTTTTACCTACCCTAAATTTACTTGTTACACCAAAAAGAAAAAGAAAGCAAGAAATGATGGAAATGAAGTAATTGAGCTTTTGACATTGATTTTGAGGCCACAAATATAAGCAGGTGCGGGAAATGTTTCAAAATTATATCAAAAAAAAAGGAGCCAGAAATGGCAGTTAATCATACATATATATATTTATGGCTTTATAAAATTCAATAAAATATGAGAGGTAAAACTCATCAGGTATTAATGCAAAAAAAAGGCATGCAATAGATAAGCGTAAAGCCTTAAAAAGGGGAAATTTTCATTGTAGAGCAATAATAGTGCAACAATAAGCATAAAAGCCTTGCTATCTTAACGATTAAAAATCGAGCCATTCGTAATATGTTTTAAAAGAATTCATTCGATCGGATTGGATAGGTGCTGTAAGCATTGGGCGTGGTGTCAAATTTCTCTTTCGTTGAAAACATTTGTCTATTTTCTATGTGAAATAAAAAGCAATAGATAAATATGGATAGATTGATAGATAGATGGGATAGATAGATATATATATATATATATATATGGTGGAGAGGGTATATTCCACTTATAGGATGTGAAAGAATTTTAAGGCATTGCAAGAAGGATAGAAAGCGATAGAAATTTGAGGTGATTGGTTGTCTGATTGGGTTGGGCCGCATTCTTTCTAATACTGATATAACATTTGGTAAAGAGAGGCATTTTTCAATGCTTACTTTTATTTCGATTAGTCTAAATCTTTCTTAATTACAGCAAACGGAATACTTCTCGTTCCCTCAATTAATTCATATTTTAACAATTATCAAAACGACGGCTCGAATTTTGAAAGAATTATTTTGCGGTAAATTCTTTTTCTTATTCATTTCCTTTTCTTTCCTTCCTTACCTCTCTCTCTCTCTCTCTCTCTCCCTCTACCTTCCACACAAAAATTTTCAATTTAAATTATAAGAAATTCTTATTGAATACTACTGCTACATTCTCACATTAAATAATTATCATGAATGGATAAACATCTTATGGTGTTTTTCATCATTAAATATAAAAATTAATTCAAGAAAATTTATCCTCAATTTAAAAGTACTGATAATAATTTATGACTTATATCTACTGCATAAATTAATAACTAAAAATTGCATAATTAATAATTCACGGAAAACATGTAAATGTGTAAGGATCTTCTCTATTTCTTTTTTTTTGATAAACAGAAATATGTAAATAAGTAAATAAATTAAAGAAACGAGTAAATAAATAAGATAAATGTAAAATTATGATAAATTAAATTTTAAATAATCATTTGGATGATATGATATCATTTGCTCAATTGTAATAGTAACAGTATTTGTTGTTATGTGTAGAAGAAATTTTCATCCTTTTTAAAATGATAGAAGTTAAAAGATGGTAAATTAAATGAATGATATTTTCAACTGCACATTTTAATATACCGATTAGCAAGAAGAAAGAAAGTGTTAATCGGTTAGTTGAAAAAGATATGTGTAAAAAAAAGGTAACCTTTGATAAGCTTAACTCTTAACCTTTTCTTCTCTTACCGAAAATATCACTTAACTCTTAACTTTTCCTTCTCTTACCCCAAATATCACAATTTAATGAAAAACTTTTTAACATTTTATTTCGTATGTTTGAATTACGAATTTTGAATTAAGCTTAATTTATAATTCTCTGATTTTGAATTTATTTGATAATCTAAATTTCAATTACACTTATTCAATAAATTTCAAAAAGTGAAGAAGGTGGTTGCATTAAAAGTATTTCAGAAGAAATTAAGAAAGTATATGGGATATATTTATTTGATGATTTCAAATAATTTTATATAAAAATGAAAATTGATAGAAGGTAAATTTAACATCAATATCAATATATTAATATCGATTAATTTATCATCCTTTTTATTCATTAAAATTTTAAATATTTTAAATTCATTCCCAATTATTTATGATGTGAGATTTTTTTTACGAAAAAAATATTGAAGATATAATTAATTTGTAAATATTAATTAGATCTAAAAAAGGTAGATTAGCTATAACTTATTATATAAACTGTTTAGCTTAACTTCTTTTTTATCATTCCAATAATTGGTTACTGAAAGATATAATTAACTTGTAGATATTAATTATATTCAAAAAAGATACATTAGTTATAGTTTATTATACAAACTATCATATTTACTTAATTTCTTTTATCATTTTAATAATTGATTGTTTTAGCATGAATAATTCAAAATGGACAAGAAATATTTGATCATTTTCTTTTTTTATACTACGATATGGTTAAAATGAAAATGATTATTGCCAGCTTTAAATATTACATTGTAAGAAAGTAATTTCTCATTGTTTGTTTCTCTTTCCTCTCTCTCTCTTTTTTCGAGAATTTAAATCCATTTTTTTTGTTTCACATCTCTCATATACATCCAATATTTCCTTCTCTTTCTTACACTTTTTCAAATTTCATTCTCTTCTCTCTCTTTTTCATTTTAAATGAGAAAAAAAGCTAGAAATGAACAGAGAAGAGTTAGATGATGATGTACGCTAAATTCATCACAACCATCCATGCGATAAGCTAAAATTTGTTTAAAGCGAATAGCGTCAATCGATCACTTCTCGTCTGCAACATGACAATACCGTAGTCGAAGATAAATTCATTTCTAACCGTTTTCTCAACTTATTGATTTTGCTCCATTGTTTGGATGGAAATTTTTCGTTTTGTTTTAAAAAATTTACTTACCATCATATCGGGAATCATTCCAGTATAATAATTTATCTTGTCGGAATTGTTTTGCTCCATTATTTGGGTGGAAAATTTCAATTTTATTAAAAAAATATACCTATTATCTATCTGGAATTATCCGGCATAGTAACATACATACCGGTCCGGAATTGTCCAACATCATTTTTGATCATTCAGTAATATGTATTTCCTTAATTAATAGAGCAAATCTTCGATTACTTAGATATTGCATTTGATCAGGCAACTTGGCTCAGTCATGCATTCCATTAAACCATTAAAAATTATATCCTAACTGATGTATAACTTTATGAAGATAAATACCGATAGATATTATCGTATGCATCGGATGGTTTATGAATTTTCTCACGACTGATAATTTTTCACTTTTTTTTTTGAAATGGAAAATATCTTGTATCCTGAAATTTATTACTATCCTTAAATTTATAAAACAACTGACCAAAAATACCAATCATTTATAATGGTTGAATAAAAGAAGAAAGCAACTTGTGAGTGGGAAGTAACGAAGTAAATTTTTCAGGTGGGTCAAATGGAAATGAAAAAAATCCATTAACATCTGATGTAATGCCGACAACAAATCCGTTGAATACAACAAGCTTAACCACTACCAGTTCAAAGGAACTAGTCGATCTTGAAGTTATCGTACTGAACTGGGCCAAACAAATTTTTGATGTTACAAAAACTAAAAGAGAAGCTAAAATTAATAAAAAATTTCTTCAGGTACTTCATCATATCTCCTGTTTTATTTCTAACAATTAAAGCATTTCTAAAAATTTACCAAATCTTCGAATATATATATATATCCTTTTGGATATTTACATATATTTTAATATCATAAAAATTTTAATTATATTTTGGATAATTAATAATTTAACGTTTTTTGCTTGAAATGATTGTTTTCAAATTTAATGTTAAAGGGAAGATGAAGTTAAATTACTTTCCACAAAAATTAATTACAATATGCTTTGTCGTAAATAAGTCAAATCAATAACATATAAAGTTAGTTATATGCTCGAATATAATAATAAGTTAGCATATTTCATATCCTCTCATTCGAATATATAAATTTAATTTTAAAATTATAGGAGCAAAAAATTTTCGAAAAATTCTTATTAATTTTTATCAACATTTCATTTCTTTGATAATCCAAATAAACAATTATTATTTTCAATAGGATTAATTAATAAGCATTTTATTTAAGTAGGATTAAATTTTACTATCAGTGAGAATGATGAAATTTTGTTAGATAAAACATATTATCAATGGATAAGAATGAAATATTATTTGATAAATATTTGTATCAAATGTTTCTTTTCATTTTAGCTTACAAATATTTCGATGAATTTTTCATTTCTAAAATATTATACATAATTATTGAATAGTTATTAGTTATTATTTAATAGTTAGAATAGTTATTGCTTGTCATAACAATTAATAGAATTAGGATGGAATAAAGGATAAAGTTGAAGAGAAATATATATATATATATGTATGTATATCCTAGTCGATATATCAATGTTATCCTTTGAAGCTTCAATTGGATATTCAAACATTAGTCATTTCGATTTGTCATATTCGAGAATGGATAATATGAGAGGAAGAGATGAGAATAGTTATTCATGAAATAAGCAAATAATATGTAACATTATGCGCATAAATCTATATATCAATCCACCTATATCAATCAACTAACTGAATGATTTCATTGATAATATACATAACTTCAAGCATTTTCATATCCTTATCCTAAACTTTTGGCTATTCCATTTTTTATTTTGTAATTGTTGTGTGTTACCTTTAGTAGAATGAGTTGTTGTTGTGATGTAAGGAAGCTTGTGTCACCAGATGATAACATTATTGCAAATCATTACTATAAATTTCATGGCTCAATTCTTGCATTAAATTGCCGCCTTTTCTTAACGAATCAAGCAATTTCTCCGATAATATGCCACCAGCTAGCCTTAACTACTACAATTAAAGATTAGAAGAGGTTGATAGGAAGAGGGAAGAGAGATCGGTTAATTATAATCTCACCAGAGACTTTCCATCCAACTGACTAAATATATATATATATCTATGAAAATATCAATAATAATTGAAGTAATAGAAAAATTGTGAAAATTTTATTGAAAAAAATACTGTTGCAAGAAGTGGAAAAGAAAAATCGAAATTTATTTTAATTTGTTTCAAAAAAATAATTCATCTCTTAAATATAAAAATTTTTAGATTTCTAAAACTTTTATCATTTATCATTAATATCAGTATTTTTATAATTTAAATAATTTTCATGCAAAATTATATTCCTTCACAATGAAATTGGCAAAAATTATAAAATGAATAATTAACAGATTCGAACCATCTTTACATATCATCAATTATTTTTATCAACTATTTAGCAATGATCTAATTGCTTATCAAATTATAATTTATTTTGTGCTTCATTTTCTTGCGTATTCTTCCATATTTTATTGACAATAACAAAATATGAGATAGTATTAGAAATAAAGCATATTGTTTTTAAAACAAAATTTTATTGTTTATTAAAAAAAATTATTTTAAAAAATGAAATGCAACAAATGTAAATTAAAAAAGAAATTCTGAAACAATTACAAATAAATTTCATTTTAATTAAACAAAAAAGAAAAAAAGATAAGAAAGATTTGTTTGTTTGTTTGTTTGTTTGTTTGTTTGCTTTTTTTAAAATAAATAAAATTACAGTATAATATCAATTGGTCACATTTGTTGAATGAATCATTGGAGCCAATATATACGATTGGTAGTATGGATGTTAGAAATGTCCGGCAAACAAAAGATGAGCAAAGCTTATTTAAATCAACATTTACCAATACAACTGAACGTGAACAGGAATATTCATTTAAAACACAACGTTCAACACGTAGTGCTGCAACAGTGATTATTGGTAAGATGTTGCTTCACTTCATTTTCAATCTCTACATGATTGCTTCGGAATACCGGTTCATAATCCCGTTGTTTATTAATTGTAATAACAGTTACGCTAGAATGATCGGAAAATTTCTTGAATTCGATAGTGAGAATATGAAAATTGAAAATTCTAGAATATGAAAAACTGAAAAAAAAATAGATGAAAATTTCATTCAGTCGAGAATAGTCTTCTAAAAGTTGCACCATTTTCTTTCTTATCATATTTTTGAGAGAGAGAGAGAGAGAGGGAGAGAGGGAGGGACATAAAGAGAGAAAAGAAGAGATGAAAAGAAAGTTAAAAATGTAATTATAATTTTTAAATTTCTTCATACTTCTCTACATGTTATTTCAAATATTGGGAAAGAACAACCTTAAAGTATCAAACCTGAAAACTATTTTTAATACTATACTATTGTAAAATAATTTTATTCATTTTGCCGGAACAGATTTTCGTTCCAAAAAGAAAGCAATGTTAATTAGATAATAATAGGAATTTATTTTGCAGAGAAAGGTGTATGTCGTGGAATTGGAATGGAACTGAAATTAAAAACGCCATGTGAAGTAGTGGAAGCTAATGCTGGATTCAATACCGAATTAACAGTGGTGAATATTGGCGAGAATACAATTGAGGAAGAGCTCGAATGGGGTGTTGATAGTACCGTTCGGGTACCCCCTCTTTCTGAAACCATTGCGGAGTTAATAATTTTAGAAGATCATCAGACTAGGCTTGTTTTATTTTTTTCCCCTTCATTATGAAATTATCGTTGAAATGATTACGACATGTATTATTGAACGATCATTAACAAAATGCCTTATAAAGGATAGATGAAATGAAACGATTTGACTTTTCGCATTTCGAAGGACGCAATTGGACAGGAATGTGCGACTTCATTCGGAAGTTGTGTTAATAATCCTTAGATTCACTTTGATAATTCTGATAAATTCACGTATTTAAAAAATGTTACTAAGAATAATATAAGAATTTGAATGAGATACTAATTCTAATTTAAAAATCCGAAAGGATGCAACTTGATGGTAGAAGTAATGTTAACTTCATTCCGGTTGGGTATTTTGAGCATTCCTTATTTCGGTTCAATTAAAAAATAATTAGACTGTAATGTTTTTTTTTTCAGGAAATTTTCCATCGAAAGTCGAATGTCAGGTCGAATTATCGTAACAGTGACAAATATAAAAGATAATAACAGTTTGGTAACAATAATTGAAGGTAAAATTGCCGATATCATACGTGGTTTAGCAAATTATTCATCATTAGGCTTCACAGTACAAAATGATGTAAGTTTTTTGTTGATCAAATCTGTAAAGTTCTTTTCTTTCTTTTAGATTTAAGTTTCATTTTAAAATTTACAAAATTCAAAATATGTGACAGAAACTCTTCCCATTACTGCGTTCTTTTTTTATCATCACAATCTCTTGCCACAATTATTGTGGTAATTATTATGCATTTTTAGTCTTTAAAATAAGCTTTAAATATATTGGATTGGGTTACTTCATTACAAATTCACTGCTGATGATTATGCATTATTTGCGTTCATTAGCAATTCAGCTCTTTTCAAGTACCATCAATCACTTCATCCATTCCCTTCCACTTTATTCCAAATCATCCATGAATCCTCGACCACAAAACAATCCATTATTCAGCACATAAGGTTGAAATTTAGTTCAAAAATTCTGTGCATAAAATCCTGTGTGAAGAAAAATGGATCGTTTTTGTTGCAGTATACCTTCATATTTATACCCTCAAAACGTAAAGCTTAAGGTTGAATAATTACTTTAAATGTATAGGTCTTAATAATAGTTATTTTTAATTACAGATTGTTTCATTTACGACGAAAGGGACGTGCAAGTTTAAGTATGGTGTTGAGCAAAAGGTTAAAATAAAGGAATATACCATACGCAAATACTGACTTCTCCAACATCCTCGTAGGCTGTACACGCCAGCAGCTTGTCTACATTATTTAGGCTTACGTTGTGCTTGTTATCTTTCATATCGAACTGCTATGTAGATAATCATACATTGTTCAGTATTCCTATTATTTGTGATATGTGGGAAAGAATTGTTAAAATGAAAGAAAAATTGGCGTACGCGAAAGTTAATGCTACATGTCGATCAATTGAAAATTCCGCAACATATGAACCATCTAACAATTCATCAAACTTATACTAAATCCAAAAATCTCACTGCATTTCCAACAATCTAGACTCCGTGAGATATATTCCGACCTAGCACTATTCCTGCTCGTTTTTACATTGAAAGTATTTGATTCTATATGAGACAATCACCATACCAAATATACATATTTACAACATCTAAAGGTATCTATCTTATTAAACCGTAAATCAAACACCTTAACCCATAACTACCTTTAGGAACAGTAACTAGATTGAAGCATATACCAAATTCATAACGGGATTGGTGCTCATACAGATAACCAAAAGGAGCGTATCATGCACAACATGATGTGTAAAGATATACACAACAGACTACTATATAATTGTTGTCCTCTATTTGTTTACGTATTCCAACAATATAGCTTGTCTATGCTCTCCTTCAAAGGTTTTTGCTAAAATACATTTTTGACCTACCGAGTACTCAGAATGATCCTTATTTTTCTATAATTGATTAATCTAAAATCTATCAATAATTCAAATACGAAATTTGTTTAAAGCCAAACAACTATTTAACAAATACTTTAATACAGAAAAACGCTTATAAATGAATATGATGCCAATTAAACGACGAACTTAAGTATTGATGTACAGGATTATTCACAGAGTAACAAATTAAAAGGATTCACTTCTTAAATTTTAAAACGAAAAACACAAGTTTCAGTAAAAGGAAAGTAGAGAAGACATACAGAGCAATGATGGATAACGGAGACAGTGGTACAGTCCTTTTTAAAGCACTTGACACATTACTGAGATACATTTATTTATGATGAGATTTTTTTTTTAATGAAAATTCGACGAAAAATATAAGTGTGTTACTTAACGATGGACAGACAGACAGGCATATATATATATATATATATATATATATATATATATGCACACACACATGCACAACATACATACAACACATAAACATGAAAAAAAATCCAATAAAATCCGTTGGAACAAAAAAACGACAAAAAACCCATTACGGGATACAACAAAACGTAAAAAATTAAGCCAAAAATGATTTAGAATGAAACAGAAAATGGTGATCCTGGTATATTGGTCTCGCCATATTTGACGAAGATAAACCCTTTGACCCTTTCTTGAATACGATAGGTAACCGCATATCGGCCACCGCCCAAATGTCGTACTGTAACCTCTTCACATGGTCCTTTTGATGTAAGTACACCAACGAAAAGAAGATTTTCACCTGAATAGCCAAAGTTGATTAATAAATCTGCTATTTTTACAAAAAAGTTATTGGATCGATCGATCAAATTAACTTTTTTTTTTTTTGTTTTTTGGAAGGAACGGTTTGCCTTTTTGTCATCTTGAAAAGGTAAAGAAAAAAAAGCATCTACATCATTTATAAGCAAATGAAATCATAAGAGTAAAAGAACAAACCTGCAAGACCAGTATCGATGTTGAAAGCAGCTGGTCGACCTGGGAAAAATTTATTTAAACCTCCACCTTTCACGGTAACCTTGCTTGCATCTCCTTTTAATACCGGAACCTGTGCAACCGTCCCTTTACTTGTTTTTGCTAGCGCATCAATCTGAAATTAGGGATATTCTTTATCACAGAACTTTTAATTCATCACTTCTGAAATAAATTGAAAAAGAAATCCACAAAGAGCTTAACAGTAATAATGCCACTGCCATTTTCCTTCCTCCCTATCTTTCACTTATTCGCCATAACTAATAAAAATTATAACAATCAAAACTTGAAAAGAAAAAAGGAAATGACCATTAAATAAAGCATAAAGGATAACCTTAATAAGCGAACTGTCTGGCTCACCACCACCACCCAGTTCCTTACCAGTCAGAATTATTTTGAACGGTGAGCCAGGAATATGAACACCTGAAAAATGACATAAAACTCTGATGAATTTAATGAAATGAAAATAAGATAAAGATTTCAATTCATATTGAAGTGACGAAGTATTCATTATCCGAAAATACCCCCATAAACATTTCTCTTGTATCTTATCTTGATTTGATCAGAGCTAAGTGTGATTTTATTTCCAAATTAACATACCAGCATATTTGATATCCACAAAATATGTTCCAGGCGCTAATGCCATATATCGCACCTTATAACCCATGTCCAACTGTAAATTATGCAAAATTTATCTGGTACCAATTTGCATGGAGAGAGAGAGAGAGAGAGAAAAAAAAAAGATGATATAATAGGTACTTCTGGATGAAAGAAAACCATAATTATATACAACTGATTTATAAAGTATAAGGGAATTTAGTAGCAGCACAACTATGTCGGAAAACCAATTAACCTCATATGCGTCCAAAGTGACCTTCGATGGTCCATCAATTTGAACCTGCAGAAGTCCAGTCCCTGCATTACAAGTATTGATAATAAATTCACATTTCTGGCCAGTTTGACCGCCGCGTATACCACTACCGCTTACTGTTATTGCTGCCGGATCACTCTCCTCATTTGTGCCAATACGTAAACGAAACGGTGAATCACGCATCGGTGCGCCATCAAGCGTCACATCAACATAATAGTTTCCTGTCTAAAAAAATTCATAAGAACAATTATCAAAGCCAAAAAATCTTCAAAATTTCAATGACCAGAAGTTTTAAGCTAGAAGAGAAAAAAATTCACCTCTGTAGGAATGAATCGTAAGGCATACGATTCGCCTTCATCAATTGGAACAATATCAATTGTTTCAATCTTATTACTTGGTGTGTGAACTTTTGCTTCAAGGTGACCTGGTGCACGATGCGTAAGTACCGTGAAAGTGCATGCCTTACCCGGCGATCCAGAATCTGGGAATGATGCTAATTCAAGCCGACGAGCTTCCCCTGTTGCGGGAGCCACGAATACCTTCAATAAACTTGATGTTTTCAAAAATCTAAAACAATAAATATAGAATATGTATGGAATAGTTGAGGCGGCGTGCACATAGTATATCTAACATTCACAATTATTTGATAATCTAAAATTGAAAAAAAACCATACAATCACTAACTTTAAATGGCGAATCCGTTATATGTACACCGTTAAATTTGATACCTATCAGATATTCTCCAGGTTTGCTTACTTTGTAATTGAAATGGCAATTTCCATCCTTAAAAAGCGATATTATTAATATGTCATATGGATTTCATTTGGTGAACTCATCTCTTTAAACATCCGCTAAATTGCAAATTTCAATAAATTTGATGGAATTTTCCATTTTTCTCTTACGAAAGAAATGACTATAATGTAAGCAAAAAGTTTGCAACAGCCGAAATTACTCATAGTTGCTGAGGCTTAAGTTCATTAAAACATTATGAAAGATGAAAATAATATAGAGTAAGATATGTTCAAATCTATGCAATGTAGACCTTATGATCATGAAATTGCAGTTCCGCTTCCGATGGTCCTTCTACGGTCACATCAAGCTTTCCTTGTCCAGCTTCTCTGGTGTAAACATTAAACGATTGCTTCATGTTTGTTTCTCCTCGTTGTATTCCAACTCCTGCTGCACGCACTTTATGCGCTCCTACTTCTGTGAAATGCCCAACAGTAAACTGGAACGGACTTCCTGAAAATTGAAAAGAACCTTCAAAATGATTTTGTTTTGTGTTTTATGCTTTTGGAGGGAGAGAAGTTCAGACAACGGAACAAATGAACATTATGATAGTTCACCTAAAACATGTTGTCCTTTGTTGAAAACAGAAATTGCATGAGCACCATCCATTTCGGGCTTGAAGCTAATCTGATAAAGGCTGTTACCAATATCACGCACTTCAATATCGTAGCTTTTTCCGTTAGGGTCCATAACTTTTGCTGTTGTTTCCATTGGAGATGTATTCTCCAATTGCAGATATATAGACGCATCTTGCTTGGGCAGTGCCAGTGGCGCCTTAAAATAATTTCCTAATGCTTAATCTCAGAGTAATTGTTGCTAAAATTAATCTGTTAAGCATATTTTAATTCAATTTACAATTTGAAAGATGCTTCCACAAAACTCAAACAATTTACCTGATTCACCTCCTTCGTGGCAGTTCTTTTCACAGACCCTAATCCTTTACCAGTACAATTAACGGTGAATGGACTATCTGCAAATATGGAAATTTTTTTTCACCATTTTCACTGGAACATTTCATAAAGAAAAGGAAAATGATGGTAATTGCAATGGTTAATATCCATTAACCTTTTACATGTGCATCTGCAAATTTTATGGATAAAATATAAATTCCCGGTTCCGTTGGTTTGTAGGCGATATTAATCAAGCCTTCCTTTGCTTCAGTACATTTTAGTTCAGCTTTCGATGGTCCCTCAACAGATACGGACAGACCGCCATAACCTGGAATTAAATTAGATATTATTAGTATGAAATCATCTCTTCATGTAGTCGAGGGAGTAACTCTAATTGACCTGCATTACGCGTATCCACCGACAGATCGTTGAATTGTTGACAAATAGCGCTCGCTTTTCCTTTACCACTAACAGTAACCTTCGATGCATTTCCAACCTACGATAAGTTTCATATTATTTAAAATCTATTTAACTGTGTACCTATGACGGAACAACAAAAAATAACAACTTACTTGACTTTTATCAACTTTAACTCGAAAAGGTGATTTTGGTATGATTTGACCATTTTTTTTAACAGTGACCAAATGTTCACCCTGTTCACGTGGAGTGAATGAAACACCTGAAAATATTATGCATAGGTGATTAGAAAAATGATATATAATTCTATATTAAACCTGGAAATTACGGGTAAATATTATAAGATGTTAAAACTCAACGGATATATGCGGAAAAACGTCAAACATAAAGTGATTGAAAAGCAACGATCATTAATTAATACCAATGCTAGCAGAATCAATATGACGGATGAAACATGGCTCTTCAATACCACTTGGACTTTTTATTGAAGCTGACAATCCTTTGACTTCCGTATTCTCAACATTCAATGATACCTACAATACAGGACAATAAATTTATGAAGGTACGATTAGAGTAGTGAATGAAAAAATAAAGATTTTGCTGAAAATAATGTTTTGCAGATAAATAATGCTCAGACAACATTGAATGTATGAGTTTCATGCTTTCACCTAAAGGAAATTTTATAGATGAAACAAGGGTGACGGTATGTTACTGATAGCTCATAACTGCAGAAAATGCGAAAGAGGGGAAAAAAATAACCTCTGATGTTGATCCAACCGATAAATGAGCACGTTTCTGACCTTCACCAGCCACAATGACAACAAACGGTGAGCCTTTTACCGGTTTCCCGGAAAGCTTGACATGTATTTTATATTCACCTGGAACGGGTGGTACCCACGCTACAGAACATGTACCATCCTGCAAGGAAAAAAGAGAAATAAAATTCCAGAGGATTTTCTACCAGTTTATTGATGAATGTAAATTGAAATGTTACCTTATTATCATGACATTTGATTGTTGTCTTTGCAGCTCCTTCAACCGCAACTGCCAGTTCTTTAGCCGGTGAACCTTTGGCACAAACTGTGAATGCTGCCGGTTCACCAACTACTGCTTGAGTTAAACCGGCACCATATACTGTTACATATCCATCAGCCGCATTGCTAACGTAAAATGAGATTGGACTTCCGGACATGTTAACTCCATCATGCTGCACTGATAGAAGATGATTGCCACACTGTTTCGGTCGATACGTCACTGTCACACTCCCGTCAGCGTTATCCTATAATTCGAACAAAAAGTAAAATTTAATATTTAAAAAAAAGTTGAGGAGTGTAACATTTCCCCCTATTGTTGTCTAACTTTCCCAAAGTAGAAAAAATTTATTTTTGTACTGATAAACACCATTTATTACAAAGTTTAACCTAGATTAAAACTCATTTCAGTTAAAATATAACTTATAATTGCAAATTGCAATTTGATTATATTATATACAATATTAAAATTTCGAAAATTAACCTTAATATGTGCAGTATCCTTTTTGCCAGATGGCATTCTCACTGACACACTTAGCTTATCAAAATGATAGTTAGAAGGTATTGGGAAACGAAAAGTGCGTGGCACGAAATATTCCTCAACGCTATAAAAGCACTCCTCCGAATCTGCTTCTCGTTTTAATAATGCTACTTGAGGTTCACCCACAACAGCCGGTCTGCACTGAAAACAACGGAAGATTAAGAGATAGATGAAACAAATAAACAAAAGGAAGAAATTTGACTTTTAATATAATTACATCATTTTTTGTTACAACATAACATTGCAAACAAGCTTTCTAAAAGCAACTGCTTTCAGAAAACAGTTGTTCACTCCGTAATATACATTCATTTCTGAACATAGTTTTTCTCTTCCTGAAAACAAAGTATTTATATGATTTTCGCAATTTGTTTCTTAGATTGCAACATTGTTAAAGAAGTTTTAGTGCAGTTAGAAATTTTTGGAATTTAAAATTACAGTGATGCTATTCAGTTGAACTATGGTCATCAAAAATTTTTTGAATTAGAAGCTATGATGATGAATTCATCATCCATAAAAAGCATAATCGTGTTAAAAATCGAAGAGAGTCAGTTATCAAAGCATTATTTTAAAACTTTAATTCAAACTTTGAAATAAATAACTTGTAGTAGTCTGCACAAAATTGAAAAAAGTAAACGTAAAAAAGGGAATATTTGAACATATTTCACAACACATTAAAAAATTAAGATAATGAAGGGATCAATTATATTTTTTCTTTCTCACTCTAGCTCGATTATTTGAAAGTAAGCAATTAAGTGATGGAAAAAGATTACACCAGACCACATATTTCCTGGAAAAATTGATGGAATGAAAAAGATTTAGGAAGATTTATGAGGGCGAGAAAGAGACGTCATGATGAATTTGATGAGAGCGGAAGATTTTTTGCTAGTCTTGAAAATTTGTTTATCTTTTTATTGTTAATAATTTCATTTTAGTAACGCCTGGAAAATTTCAATTTTTTTTTCGATGATAATATATTAAAATTTAAGCAGTAGAACAATTGTAATATTAGCAAATTAGATGCAGAAAATTAGCCTGAAATATAAATTTTTTATCCTTAACCAAATCCAGTAGATGATAGTCACAACTTGATTTAATTCCTATTAAAAAATAAACAAATAAAAGTAATTCTGTTTGGATCTAGTCGCTTTTTATAGTAAAATACTACTTCGTGAATGTCGAAGCATTTGTTTTTCGAAACAAATGTCAACTTTTCGATAGTTCAATTTAATATATTAGTAAGGAAAGACTGTCATATATGCCACTATCAAAGGATACATGCCAGTAACAATCTCTAATTTCATCCAAACAATGTGTGCAGGAATATTTTTATAGAAACATTTAACTTTTGCGCTAAAGTAAACAAGTAATGCCAGATGTAATTCATTTGAACTAAAACTTTTTGTGCTTTGGTTCACATTAAATTTTTGCGCCTAAAAGTATTAAAAAAAATTAAGCTATTAATCATCGCAGAAAAACCAGCTGCTCCAATCCGGGTAAAAAAAAAGAACGCTTTATCAGTGCTTTTCAGTAAATATTTTTTATTGTAAGAAAGAAAAGAAAAAATGTCAATTAAGTATACCAATGAAAACACAAACATTACAAAATAGTCAAATGTTTGAATGAATGAAACTTAATCCTTCATGAAAGCTACAACTCGCCTGCCTTAACAATGATCTCATTCTTTTGCAAACAAAATTTTAATCCAATTTAAGCTCTTGTATTTTAAAATAATTAAACTAAACTAGATAATAAGTATGTGATCAAAAAACAATTACCATTTAAAATAAGTAAGATTTGCTAACCTCAAAATTGAATATTCCATTAGGTATATCAACACCGCCATACATCAATATAATTTGATGCTGTCCTTCACGATGCGGGGTAAATGTTACCAAATAATAGCCATCATTTTGTTCCTCAACGCTTATTTCTAAATCATCTCTATCTGAGATAATATTCAATGCACCTTCTCCTCCACGATTCGTATTTACTTTGAATGTTTTTGGCTCTCCAATAGTCCAAAATTTGTCAACTGGTTTTACTGAAATTTCAATTCAAATGGATAAATATAACAACTAAATCGAAGTATGAGATTAATATCAAAAAATTAAAATTATTTAAATAATTTATTGTGGGGATATGTAATACTTTTAACAAACTGAAAAAGATTAATTTCCAGTATGGTTGCATTGTAAGTAAAAAACTTACATTCCAAATAGCATTTGTTTGCGGAACCAACTGGAACAGCAATGAGCTCATACGGCTTAGAATGTAACGGTTTTCCATTACTACATATGTTAACAACATATGCACCAGCCATATCCGGAACAAATTCTAATAAGTATATCCCTTTATCGGTTGTTTCGGTAAGCGATGACTTTCGAAACTTATCATCCGGACCCTATAAAATATATGTAAAACTAAAAGCATATTTCGTTCAGTAGCATCTAAAATCATTAGATTTTAGTTTTTTGTTTCTTTCGGAAAGAAAAACAAATATCTTACTTTTATTTCAGCCTTTACTTTGTCAATTTTCCCAGCTCTGGTTGCATCAATGAAGACACCACATCGAAGAGATGCTTGTACTTTATATGGCAGAATACCGGAATGATTTTTCAGCACTACCAATTCCGATTCTTGTTCAACAGTAAAATCCAATGGCCTATAAAGATATTCCAATTTTGCTTGCACTCTATTAGACGAGGGAAAGTTCTCGAAAAGATAATAGTTTGTTGAAAAATTACCAAAAGGAAAACAGGGAAAACTTCGAGTAGAAATGGGCCTTCAAAAATGATGCAAAATATTCGATATAAATAATGTGAGTTATTACCTTCCATGAAGAAGTTGACCACCGTACAGAATTTCCAACGGCAATACTTCACCTGGTTTGGCTCTCGGTACGAACGTTACTCGATATATTCGAGGTTTGATTTCTTCAATGAATGGTTGTTGGAAAACAATAGGAAGTCGTGCATTGATAGGTTCCAGAGCGGTACGTGTGGCATCAATCAAGAATGACGTAGATACACCGGCACGTACATGACCATTCTTATACCCGTTTATCAGGATTTTCGACGGATCATATTCATAATCAACCAATACCGTAAATGGTGAACCTAAAATATTCAATAAATTTTCTAGCAGTGTAACTGAAACAAAATATTAATGAATGATAGCACAAATTATTAAGTTAAAAAGAAAAATGAAAATAGAAACATATACCGGGAATTTCTTCTTCATGGTCACCAAAATAAATACTAATTTCGTATAGACCAGGAGTTTGTGCAATATATTCCACCGTGCATAAACCATCGGAATGATCAATGATGTTTGTTTTCGATTCCGATGGTCCTTTGATAGCCATTTTCATCCTACCTCCTCCAGCATCCTAAATTCAATCTCGCTCACTACTATTAAAAGATTGCTTTTGATTTTCTTTCTTAACTAAATTTCAATTTCAAAATGAAAAAATTTTAAGTGCAAATAACAAAAACATATGGTATTCCGTACCTTCATATCCACCTGGAATTTTGCCAGCTTACCAACTATTGCACGTTTAAGTCCATCACCACTAACTCGGCACATCGCTGCGTCTTGGTTTCGTCGAACGATGATCTGCGATTCGTAAACCAAAATTTCATCGAAGAAAACAGCAAATTTTGTTTCGCCAGCATTTTTAGCTATCCAAAAGCCTGCAAATAGTGTTATGAACTACTGCATGAAAAGAGAAATTGTCGTAGCTAATAGAAGTTTCAAAAAGACATATAACCTTTGAAAATGCTTAAATTACGGCCACACTCAAAAGGAATCATATATTTTGAACCATTGGCTTCTTCTACAATAACTTCAAGACCATTCTTTATTGGTATCAAATCACCTGTATTAATAACAATATCCTCTCGATGTCCAATAGTAACAATCTCTGAAAATAATTGAATTTGTTTTATAAATTTTTAAAAAAAGATATACTGGAATTTTTTTTCGATTCCCATAATAAATGAAAACAATTGGCAAAAACCCAACCATTATTATCCAGGCCATTTATTACAATCGATGAAATATCAACTGGTTTAACATTAATATTCATTTTCATTAATTCCATATCGTCATAATATAATGTTAGCTGAAATAAAGAGCAACAGCAATTATGAATGTTTGTTAAAACTAAATTGATGATTGTCCAAATTGTTGAATAATAACCATTACCTCATACAAACCGGCTTCAGGAGCAACATAACTCGCTGTAAGTGTTTTATTTCCATTATCGGTCAATGCAACATTTATCGACGTCCCATTTTGATGTTGTAATTGTGAATGGATTTTTTTGACATTACCAACATTTTGCGGATCAATGATAAAGCTGACTAATTGATTGGAATGAATATCCGGTCCAATGCCAGCACCATAAATTCGAATTTTACTTACATCAATCATTTTTCGAACTGTCACCTGCATATGAGTAATAAATTACTTACGAGTAAAATTTATCTAACAGAAAATTTATCTAACTATTTGCTGAAAAGAATTTAACAATTGAAACTTTTTTCCCTTTTGATATGAAATAATTCAATTGAAAAGAGACCACAAATGGTGATCCTGGAATTGCAACACCGCCAACTGATAAAAGGAAATAGTATCGACCCAGCTCATTTGGAACAAAACGACATTGATACTGTCCAGATTTAGTTTCCATTACTTGTATTGGTACTTCTTCGTACTTCTCATTCAGTGCTCTTACTAATGGTTTAAGACGCACTAAAAGAAATGAAAATTAGGTACTAATCGCTACAATTAGCAATGAATTGATTGAAATGGATTGTTAACATAATGAAAAAGTTTCTGCTTTTACGTTTTCCTGCTTTATATGTTTATATAACAAATGTTTCCAACGATATGAAACTGAAATTTAAACTGGAATTGAACGAAGCCTCCATGCAATATGGCTCTCTTATTGATTCAATGAAATTCATTATGCTAAATTTATTTCAATTCTATTCGCTGATGTCACCAATCTTCAAATTTTAATCGTTAAATTGAATAACACTTCCATTTTATCACTACAATCGACATATAATATACTATCTTTTTCTAAATATAAGAACCTCATAGACTCCAATCCGAACACTTGATTAAGTATAACATCAATTATTAAGTACAATAACTAGGTATAATGATGATATAATAATAAGTAGTGAGACAGATTAGTGAAACCATATCAAGCATTTTGAGATAAAGTCAAAAAAAAAAATTGCTACGAGAATGAAATGAATTATCACAAGCACGATTAAATTCTCCTAAAATGTACCTCTTGCATCGGGCATTTCGATCCAGAATGTTATTACGCTTTTTAGAGTAGCGAAATCCGGTGTGATACCGGATAATCGCATGTCGGTAACTTTTAGATTACTGTTAGCTGGTTGTACTTGTACGATGAATGGCGAACCTTTGACATGCTCACCACCATAACATACCTTCACCGTGTAAATTCCGGGTGCAGTAGGCTAGAAATTTTTTTGGATGACTTTAAGTTTTGAAATCAGTTAGAGCTATTAACTCAATCTATTAGAAGATAGTTAATAGCTGTTAGGAATAAATACCTACTATCTGCAAATATATAGTTTTAAAAAAAAAAGAAAGGTTGACTGAGATCAAGAATAGAATTAAATTAAATACGATCAACTTTAACACACTTTCCGATTCCACTAAATAAAGGCGAAAAAAAAAGCAAAAAAAACGACATAAACTAACAGTAAATCGAGCAACAGCTGATCCATCCTTATTGTCTACTAATTCTATATCCGGTTTTTCGGGACCACTTCCCAATGATAATGTCCTTCCAGTAACAGCAATGTCTATAGGTAATATATAAATTTCAACCAATATAATCATTGTCTTTCTAACCATATTGATACAATACTGATTTGAAAAATTCATTATGAAACCCACCAATCTGTTCACAACGACCACCATTTGTTTCAATAAGAAAGACACTCGGTAAATTTGCAACACCACTCTCCAATCCTGGTCCAAATGCGCGTACTTTTGAACTGCTTACTGGTGATATCATTACCTTAAATGGGAAACTCAATTTCGTTCGAAAATTCTTAATAAAATTAAGTGCATGAAATGAAAAATCAAACAAAATCAATTTAGTATCAACTAAATTTTATATCACACAACAACGAAAAATGATGGGGTGGAGGAAAAAACTCATAGCGACACTGATAGTATACCTAATTGGGATACCATCACGGATTGGCATAATTAACCCTTAAATTGGGATACTAACCATATAATACGACTTAATTGGGATACTAATCCATTTTCCGTTACGCATTGTATTTTGTAGTTTATATATGGTATCTGATCCGACTAAATTGCTTCCTAACTATTCCGTTAAATTCATATATTGATATATATGCGCATTTCAAGAAATATTTTGATCAAAATGAACCTTATACGGGCTTTTACCGATGTGTTTTTCACCCAATAATATGCTAACATCATGATTCCCAACTTCATATGGCCGATATTTAAAAATTTTCAAATGCAAATTGCCATCCACCGTCTCACTCACAGGTACTTCGTTCCCAGCTATAGAATTCATTTTATATTTATACTAACATAAATTTTATTAACTTCTAATGATAGCACCTAGTCCAAAAAGTTCCTTATTTTTAAAAATCTCCTACTGAATGGTTATTTTCGGATAAACTTCGTTTCTGAAAGTACTTTTTTCCTCACTTAAATTCAATGCAATACTTTTTTTTCTATCCGCTCTATTCCATATCCTCTAACAAACATCTCACACTACTAAATCTCTGTCAGAACTATTTCATCGCTTTGGACAGATAATCCGCATTCAACCTCTCGGTCGTCTGTAATTCTGCGCAACTAGAATATTTTTGTTTATCAAAACAGGAGCACGAAAATGTTCTTTACAATAATCACATGAAACTTTGATCTTATTTATTCTAAGCTATGCTAAGGCTATTTTAGATCAATTATATGATACTTACATTGCCCACAAACTCGCATACGTAGTGGTCCCAACAAATTACCGCTGTAATTAACATAAACGATTACTTCTTCACCACTTTGAATACCATTTGGTTCAAGACCTCTACCCCAAATATTAATTTGTGCTGAAAACAGAACTATTATCATGAGATTCTAGAAATTCGTATTCTTATTTACACTTCACACATTTTTACCTTTTATTCCGGCTATTTAGACCTGTTTTCAGGAACTGAAATGGAAGAATATAAAAATACTTCTATTCAAACTATCGATTATGTTGAATATTTAATTTGCATTAAAAATAAATATTTGCAAATATGATTAATTACCTTGTGAAATTACTGTGAGTGGAAATGGACTACCAGCAATATGACTTCCTTTTTGAAAGACGTTCAATTCGTATAAACCTTCCAGTTTTGGTATAAACTGACCTTTGAAAGTATTGCCATCAGGTATCGCCGGTACTACGAATTCTTTATCATATGGAGGAACCACCAAAACCTACAATGCATTTTATGCCTGATGAATATCACACCTGTATCATTCTGTTATCTTTCGACATAATTACACAACTTATGCTGAACCATCCCTAAATACAGGTAAAATATAATTCGATAAAATTTCAGATATATCCTGTGAAATATTTTAAAAAAATGAAATATGCATTCGCTAAGAATGATTCCCATCACTTCTCTCTTACTTCTCTCCCTTTAATTACGAGGAGAGAAAGTGAACAGTAAAATAGGCGTGGAAGTACAACTAACCCGCGTAAGCTGGCTGACTACAGTTGAACTGTACAAAAAGTATTTCATACCTCAATTGGCTCGTTCCCTGGATTTTCTATACTGAATTTAACTGGCATGCCAAGCTGTACATTTTTGTCATATAGCAAACGCGCCCCTTCAACTGCTGTTATTTTAGGACTTGCTAGCTGAACGAAATTACCCGATATTTTGTCACAAAATATTGCCACAATCTGTAATATCTTTTGCATTTGAAACAAATTATAAGTAGCGTAACTGAATATTTGTTCCAAAAATTCAAATTCGAAAAATTAAATACATCGTTGAAAAAACGAAAGCATACAATAATTAACCAAAAGAAAATATTTGATTTCTAATACAAAATAAATTTTGAGTTTAACAGGTAATGGTACAACCTCATGTTCACCAGAAATTTCCGGTTCATAAATGAAATTATAAACGGTCTCTGAAAGTCGACACTGAGAGTATGGTATTAATAATCCCGTTGGCCCTTTAATGCTTATTTCCGGAATCAATGTTGGATCACTCGTCTGAAGAGTAAATTGGGTTTTAGTTCCAACAGACGGCATTACATCGATGTTATGAAATCGACCCAGTCGTGGTGTGTATTTTGCTCCCGGAAATTGAGAAAGATATGTCATCACACTCTTCTCGTCAACAGCTGGACTGATCAATTCTTCTGGTGCAATAAGCTGAAAAATTCAATTATATGCTTTCAAATCATATGCAAAAAAATAAAAAGCTAAAGAAAATACAAAACTGATGATCTTATATAGGAAAGAAATTAAAAACGAACAGGTGCAACGCTAAGATAATCTTTCGCAAGGTGCATTGCTGTACGAGTTGAATGTAAAGCTTGCGATGGCAACCAATTACGCCAGTCCACTCCTAAGCCCGGTGCACAGGAGTCAACCTGAAAGAAACTTGCTGAAACGATATTTTGGGATGCAATGCAAAATCTAGCAGAAAAGCTACAAACCAAAGCGCCAAGTAAAATTCCATCATTCCAATCGGATGTAAAATTGGTAAAAGGAAGTCCAGTTGGTAATTTTCCTTTGAGCCAAGTCATAAGTTTTGCTTTCGGTGATACATCTTCAACTTTAGTCGCATTCCCTGCATGATCATCCCAGACTTGCTTTGAGATCGAATAATGCAAAATTAATGTCCAAACTAGGCCCAAAATGAGTTTTAAATTGCGATCTGCTATTGCCGAACTATCTAAAAATAAACGATTTTTCCATTAGCAATTGCAACGATCCAAAGTCATGTTTCAATAATAACACAAAATTTATCATCTGAATTAAAATCATAAAATTATTACCGATATTAACAATTTTAATGTGCTCCTCATTTTCTAGGAATTTCAGTGCGAGCGATATATTTTCTAATTTCTGATGACGAAAAGTGACCCTTCTACTGTATCGACCAAGAGATCTTCCAGATAGCACTTCCACCAAACGAATTAATTTTAAACCTTCCTCAAAGTCCGTTTCCTGAACAAATTGATATCGGTTTAATAAATTGTGCAAAATATGAGACCCGATCTCTTCCACTTATCACTAATGTTCATTTCACTTCCAATCATCGCCAAGAGATCGAAATGATTTGCTGACGATTTTCATGATAGCATGTCCATATATATTAGAAACAACCATATAACGAACTACCGAAGCATTCATGGTGCTTGCTATTCAATTATTTTCATTTTCTAACCCATCCAATGATAAGTTATCGATAGTATTCAAATGAAATATATTACTAACAATACAATGGCTTACACATATTTATACATGATTTATTATTACTGATTAATAATATTAATTAGTATTATTAAACTATTAATACTATTAGTAGTGATGAATAATGAATTGTTGTCTTTTGCTTTTTTTTTAAACTGAAGCATACCAAATCAGTGACTTCAACATTTACCGGCTCTAGCTTTTGATTGACCCATCGTGTAAAAGTATTCTGTTGAATCTTTTTCCACGCCGCATCCGGTTGCCGATCTTCCAAAACCATCTACAATATATCATCCATCATTATCTCACATATTTATTACGGTCAATATTGTATGAACAATTGTGGAATGAAAAAAATTTTCTAATCAGATTATACACTTGAATGCAGAAAGAAAATTTCAATAATTTTCCTATTAATGAAATTCTTACTTCACATGATTCATCCCCGTCCATTGTATTCAATATTTGTCGTTGTCTTAAATTAACCCGTTAATAACACCGTACCAGAACAGAACTATAAATGATTAAATAAAATAAATTTATGAATATAAGCAAAAACCGAAAGGAAAAAATTGACTTCGAATTATGCAAATTACGAGATGATTGAGTAAGTATATGATCGAACTAATCGGATGACCGAACTGAATTAATGTATTTCTTAAACCTAACATAATTATGCTAAATATAGCCATTGTAAACTGTTGAAAAAGAAGCATTTATAAAATCGTCTTTAAAAGGAAACTGTATCATGATTAATTTTATGATTATTATTATAAAATTATAAAACTACATTTCATTAAACTATTACGCAATCTAATTGAAATGAATGATATTGAAGTTTTGTAGAAGAGAGACAATTAAAATGTTAAGAAATGAAGAGAAAAAAAGATTTCTTTTTTTCGCCTTCTTATAACTGGATTTTGTATTGACAATGATAATGACAACAGAATGATAATGACAGCAGGTGAAAACTACGCAATGGTTGAAATCTGAAGGTTACACTTTTTTCTTTAAAGCTTTATTGTTTTCGCTCTTTTTCTTTGAAAGATTAAGTAAACTTTAGTAAAGTTAAAAAATTTCAAAGATTAAAGTAAATGAAATGACAAGAATGCAAACTTCATGTTTCCTGTTCTTTTTATTTTGCCTTGTAAAACCGGAATTCAGGATGAAATCCTGAAATACCGGTTTTTATGAAGAAGAAAGTGTATGCAATTTGTCCTAAATTTTGACATTTTTTTTTTCTTTTTTGTTTTATTAACTATTGATGGCAATAACATAAGGAAATAAATGAATAATGAATAACATTCGGGAGGTATTTTATCACATAATTGACTAATTCAGTTAAATCAATTAATGAAGAGCAAAAATGAAAATAATTCAAATAAAAAAAGGAAAACAAAAAGTTCGTTGCATAGGATGAATGGATGATAAGACAAGGATCAATTCCATTATAATTATTATGCGAATTAAAATTAGTAAGAAAAATAATTAACATGTAAATAAACAATTATTCACACTTACTATAACAATAACTGAAATTAAATATTGAATGAAATTATTACAATTAAGAAAAATAATAATTTCGAATTATGAAAGATGAAATTATACTCAAAAACAATAAACGAATTAATTCATTTCTCCTTCATCGAATGATCAACCATTTCCGTAATGAAAGCAATGAAACACTAAACCGAACAGTAAGAAACTCATTTGTAAATGTAAGAAGCGTTTATTGCCATTAATGGGAGGGAAGAATGGGAGGATAAAGCAATGAATGGCACGTATTTGAACGATATAATGTCATGAGGGGAGGGGAGGAGGAGGAGGAGGAAGGATAGAAAGAGGAGGAGGGAAAGAAGTGCGTGGGAAAAGAAGATATAAAAGGTAAAAGAGATTTGGTACAAACAACAAAGATCATCATTGTTAATGGCTAAAGGAATTTTTTTTTCCTCATCTTATTCTTCTCCCTCTATCCTTCTACAAATGATTTCAAGGAAATCAGTTATCACATTGATTGCTATAATAGTCATATAACACATATTAATCATTCATCAGATTATTCTAATGTATAGATTAGATCCTATCACCACAAATGATAATGATTACAGTTCGAAACGAAAACTTTTAATACTTTATCATTTAATTTGATATTGTTTGATTTCACATTGATTGCTATAATAGTCATATAATATTAATCATTCATCCACCTATCACCTCAAATGATAATGATTACAGTTCGAAACGAAGATTTTCAATATTTAAATGATATTGTTTGATTTAACAATACCAAATTTCTGCCTTTTTTGTTTTACGATATAACACTGAACGTATTCCTGAAGTTTTTCTTCGAGATTTCTCGGGTTGCACATTAAATTACAAAATGAAAACAACAATTTAATCTTTGACAAATGATGATGATGATTTTGCAACTGAAAACTACCTAATTTGGTCACATGGTTTATATAGCCACTTGACCATAACATCACTTCAAAATTGTTTCCTTCAATTTTTTTCCCACTTTCTAATCTCTATTAACTTCTAATTAAATTAAATTTTCGAATTCAAATAAGTGTGAATAATATTAATTGCTTTTGTTTAATGATGAGAAAATTAACTGTCACTTAATATCAATAAGTGACGCCAATTTGGGGAATTAAATACATAACCCAAATGCTTTTTATTTCTTCGCAATCATTTGAGTTTTTACGATGGACGGAGAAGTGATTTATCGATCTAAGATAAGTTGATCTAACCTATACCTTAGAATAAGCTGAATTAATAATTTAGATCACTTGTATGAGCTACAAAGTTCTTTCCAATATGCTCTTCCACTCTACTCCTTATCTGATAAAATATAGCAAAGTTTAATAGCTAAGAGTACCTTTATAATATTCCTCCTAATCCTAAAAACTTTTCCTTTTTGAATTAAAATTAAAGTAATTGGAGTTAATTTTTCCATAAGTCTCGGTTAGCAATATGTTAATATTATTTCAAACAATTACAACAAATGTATTAATGAATTAATTAATACGGTTCTTTGTTTGATAAATTTAAAAAAAGTGGAATAATTTCCTAAGAAAAAATAAAATACTTTGTAAAGTAGAAACATTTGATGACATATTTAAAAACATTCAAACAGCGATAATACATTTTTGAAGAAAGAATGTTAATTAATGAGTTGGAAAGAAAGAGAGAGAGAGAGGGAGGGAGAGAGAAAGAGAAAGATGATAATGTTATGGTAATATATGACAGTAATAAATGATCCTGTCTTACTTTCTTTTTTACAAAGTAACAAGAAGTAAGAAATGAATAAAATTTTTCACTGATTTATTTGTACTATTATGGGATATTTCCACTTCATGTGATATTTATCGTCTGAAATTTAGTTTTTATATTAATTACTGAAAAGTATACATTAGCTGAATATTTAATATCTTTAATTAAATTTGTATTAATTTATCAAAATACGCTTTTAACATTTTTAGGGTATAGAAATATAGAAAAAAACAACAACAAAACATTTCATTGAAAGGAAAAACTCTCACGAATGCATGCATGCATGCATGCATGCATCATCATCATCATTCTATACAGTTAAAATTTTTGCAAACAATTTCACATGATATAAATGTTTCCCATATATTTTGAACTTCATTTATTAATGAAAAAAAAACTAAGGACATCAATCGATAACAATCTGATTTGATTAATTCAAAAAAATCTATTCAAATTCCATTCTATTTCATTAACATTTGAATTTAGCTATTAATGAAAATATATGTTTTGCTAAAAATTTCCCACCAATCTATCATATAACCCATCTTATTGCATCATTTATTATCATTCTTTCTCATAAATCCTGATATTTCCTAGAAAAGAAAAAAAGAGATATAAGGAAGAAGCAGCTATATATACTACTATCACTTGTTTAATCTGTAAAATTAACGGAAACCTAAAAATCCTAATATGAAAAATTTTAAATCCATCTTAAACAAACAGAAAAATATCATGTTAATTAATCATCATATCGTTTCTTAATTTTCATCTTAATTAACTAAAACGAATAAAATCTATTCTAACCGGTTTCTATTAAACGAAAAGGTTAAACATTCTATATTTGACGATATATATATATATATATATATACATATCCTTTTAAGTAATTCAAATACAAAAATGTGTGGTAGAAAATGAATACATATTTATAACATGCAATGTGAAAGAGAAGAAAGAGAAAATTGTAAGAAGTGAAGGATGATTTGAAAGGAAAGAAATGGATAGATAGCTTGCATAAACGACCGGAAGAAGGGAGAAAAAGGTGGAAGGGCGGGGGAGAGGCTTCTTCGAGAACAAAAAAAAGAAAAGAGACCGCATTGTATACCAGTATGAATCACAGAAGGTCATTTTAACCTGTATGTATGTTTAAGTATGCCTATGTATGTGTATGTGTATGTGTATGTGTGTGTGTGTGTGTGTGTATTATCTATATACGTGTGTTTGTATGTGTGTATATGTATATATAGATATAGATAAATATGTATGTGTATGTGTGTGTGTGTGTGTGTGTGTATATGTATATATAGATATAGATAAATATGTATGTGTATGTGTGTACACAATGCATATAAAGCAATATTCATTATTATTCACGGACGACGCCGATAACGAAAAAGCGAAGAAAGTCTTCTTCATTACATAAAAATTGCTTTTGAGATCTTTTTTTCCAAACGTACACTTTCACACATTACATTATTGTTATATCATTAAATGTCTCATACATATTTGATACATATATATTACACTTTTACACGTTACATTAACTTTTGCACGTTAGACTATTGTTATATCATTAAATGTCTTAAACATATTTGGTACATATTACACTTTCACATGTTACATTTACACATTGGACTATTGTTATATCATTAAATACCATTGAATGTTTCGTCTTCAAATAGATTCATTTGTGCATATTTGGCTACTCTACTCTTGCAATATATCGAACCTTAACCTCTTAAGGTTAAAGTTTAACATAATGTAGATGAAAACATGTAGAAATACTATCTTCCGTTGAATTTGTTATGTTTGTATAACATTTGCGTCCAAAAATATGGTAATATGATAACACATGACTGATATACAGTTTTATCGTTTAATATAACTATAGTCAGATATAAGATGTTCTCGACTTTTTTTGGTTTATTTAATCATGCTAAATTATACTAATTAGTTAAAGGATCAAGGTGAAACAAACTTATGATTGATGATATAGTAGTTTATTAAAAGAATAAAATTTTATGATGTTAGGTTAAGAAAGTTTATCATAACTTTATTGCTCTTAATTTTTCTTTTTATTTCATTGCTTCAAAATAGGGGAAATATAGGAGAATATGGTACAATTAATTATAAACTAATTATATTAATTATTCCCTCGTGATGTACATTACCAATTAGCTTTACCTAAATTTCTAGTTCATACTTGGGAATATCTCTCTATTATCAGTTAGCAGGAAAATTTACAATTGTTGAATGGTAAAAGTTCCACTGTACTGTTTCCCAGCTACAGTTATCATTACGAACGGCTGAATGAGAAGGGAAAGGAAGATGAATGATACGATAAGCAGCGTCGGTCGGTGATTATCGATATCGCTATCAAAAATTACGATCATCCTTTACACATTATTACATATTCTTTAGTTTCCCGTTAAACAATCCTCGTTATCAATATCACCTCTTTTAAAAGAGAAAGAGAACGAGAAAAAACTATCCACTGATTTTTAGTTATTATTGCCTCTAAAAAAGTCATAATTATCCGTATGATTGTTAGTAATTTTGACCATTATTACAAAAACAAAACCGTAATTATTGGTAAAATTGTATGCAGTGATTTTCCCGGTATCTGTTTAAAATTTGATACCCTAAATTTTTGAAGAAATAAGCAGTCGTATCTAATTTGAATTATACATAATGCGTTGATTTGTTTCATTTCAGATATTTGCTAACTTATATGAGTGATAAAAATCATATTTTTAGATAGATATGTTATACTCTTATGTTTGTTATCCCAAATTAGAAATAAATAATCTGAAGGATTAATTCAGAAGGAATTATCATTCTTGATAATATGAGTAAAATTCAGACAAAGTTCAATTTTGATAATATGAAAAATCAGGAAGAATTGATTTAAATTTAAGCAACAGGCATCATGAACTTCTGTGTAATAAATTTTAGCTAAATAGGCCTAGATGGACATGTTGACTTGTTCACTATGCATGATTGTATGTGTATATGTGTATGTGTATGTGTATAAGTGTATGTGTGTGCATATGCGTGCATATGTGTGTATGTGTATATGTGTATGTATATGTGTATATGTGTACGTGTATGTGTATTGTATGTGTATATGTGTATGTGTATGTGTATGTGCATATGCATGCATACATGTGTACATGTGTATATGTGTATGTGTATATGTATTTGTATGCGTATGTGTATGTGTATGTTTCAATGAATACTCGAGAATAGCATTCGCGAAAAGGACATACCAATGATAGAAGGCGTAGAACATTAAGCACCAAATAGAATGTTATTGCGAAATATTGCTCACCAGGTTTTGATTAAAAGTGTTAATGATAAGTATACTGGCAACATCAATGAAACCTGAGACTTTATTCCAAGAAATATGCTCTTTTCCCTCCGTGAAGTGTAGAAAATTATTCGAAAGAGAAATATTATTTGTCCGAATCACGGGAAATCATTTACGTAAAAAGGACTGAATGCCTGATATAAATGAAAGTTGTTTTCTAGAAATTTTTTTCTCTTTCTTTAATACCTTCATAAGCAAGTAAAACCGTTACAAATATCAATCAACCACTATATGATATATATGTATATATATATATATATATATAGGTTTGGAGAAGTGAAAGTGGAAATGATCTTTAAAAGAAGCTGTACCCATACAAGTTAGAATGAAATAAGAAGCAAAGTGATACTGCATAATATAAAATGGAGTAAAATGAAACAAAGTAAATTTAATGTGTGATTCTTCATACGCTAATAATATACACATAGCATTCATGCAAAACTCATCATAGTTAAGAACTTCTCAATAGTCCTGCAATGGTTGATTTGAAGAAATGATGTCAGTAACTGAGTTTGGCTATGAGGTAGTATTGAAACAAAACTATCAATACATTTCATTTATTATACAATTCATTAAAATACACAAATCCTCTTTTTTCATGTTCCACGTGACAAAAAAAGAAGAAAGATGAAAATTGATAAATAGAAAAGGAAAAAAAGAATGCAGACTAAATCTAGAGAGGTAGGATTGTTACTATATTAGTGTTGATTAGCTAAACTTCATTTCCATTTCACTGTAATGTTCTGTAGGTTTTAGAATAATATCGAGCCTACTCTTCATAGCCATAATATTCGGACAGATCAACAATACCAGGAGTAATGGTAATAAAGTTATTCGTAATTCTGAGATTTATACATGCACATGATATCAAATATAAATTACAAATGTATATAAAACAACAGAGAGATTAAAAGCACTACATATGGTCAGGATTATAAGATCAAACTAAAATGACACCAATCCGACGCCGATCTATCTCCATCCGTGTGATTCGTACCTTCACTGCAGAATTTATCTGCAAATTAGTACATCTTCGTTAGTGATGAATCATGGAAGATTGATAGTTCTTTACCAAGCACATAAGAGTCAACTTCTGACGGCCTAACCAAAGGGTACATTAAACAGACAAGTTTGATAAGCGGCATTATGAACCTCTTTGTTTATGGCGCCATGGATGGGAGATCGGATCCTCTGAAGAAGGGAATATCCCCGGATACGAACAATTACGACCTTGAAATTAAGTACAAAATCAAAATCTCTCAAAATCCCTTAAACCAATAAGCACAAAGGATTCAGTGAAATACAAATTTGAAAGGCACTATTGGACCAGGCCATATGAATGGGTCGTTTAAATAAATACAACTTCGAGGTCAGATTGGTAGAAACTTCAACCTCGGGAACAACTGACGGTAGAGTTGATGAATGCGCTAACGCATTGAAGCCTACTCCGATATCGATAAATATACCAAAATTAGCATGATTTCGAACAATGCCTTCCAAAATATCACCCACTTTCAGCGACTTCATTTCTGGTACATTCGTCTTAAAACATTCAATTTTGTTGCAAAAATAATTAAGATTAATGAAATAAAAGAAAATAAGTGTACATACCAAAAGCACTGGCGCATTTTTCCTTACAAACGGATTTGATAATAATTCCCACACCAAGACCCATTCCGGACCCTGTTCTCTAATTCGTTGTTCAGTCACTGCTAACATTTGGAACAAGCAATTCTGGCCAATGTGTGTCAAATCGGCACCAGCATATTGCAGTATCCTGAAAAATTATTTGTTACATTTTTATATAAACTATATTAAACTATATTGTTATAAACTATATTTTAAATTATTTGTTATAAACTGTTGCGTTCATCCTATGCCTACCATATGATATCACGAATGGATAAAACTTTCAGAAAACGCAATAAAAGGTGCCAATTTCTTCGACAAAATAACAACAAGCGGTGAAATCACTAACTGCTTGGCAATCTTGTAACTTTCTGGATGAACAGGAGTTGCATCCAAAGGATTGTATTCTGCTGCAAGTTTTGATTTCTTTTTCACTGGTTCGTCCAATTTACTATCGTTATATACATAAAGGAACCCAGCACAATGCTCAAAACATTTTGGACCGATTCCGTTGATACTCTAAAAGTTATGCATAAAAGTAAGCATATTTTAAATACGAAATTTTTTTGGGATATAAAGTTTTAATACCTTCAGCTCTTCTCTGCTTTTTATGTTTCCATTGTTTTGGCGGTATTTGATTATATTAGAAGCTGTTTTCTTATTCAAACCCGATACTCTCCTTAAAAAGTCATTTTGGAATTGATAAATTGATTATTCGAAGTAATATGTAACAAATTTATTGTAGCGAAGTTTTTTCTGAAAATAACTGATTGAAACATCGCTTACTGCAAAACTTGTAGTGAGGCTACGTTCACGTCAACGCCAACATTGCTAACACATTCGCGCACGACTATATCCAACATTTCGTCCAAGCGTTTTTCATTCAGCGAATGCTAGACGCAAAATCCGTGAAGCTTCAGTCAGAAAACCTTTCGTGCAGTGGCATCTTTCTCCCTCTTACCCTCCAAATTTCTGCTTTTGAAGATTTTATGTTCCACAAACCTGATACAGTCCAATACCAAGATGTTTCGGTGCAATCTTCACATATTCCGAGATAGGATCAATGATACGTCTGGCAAGCGACACTATAATACCATATCTGTATTGCATTAATACTTCTGTTTGCTTTTTGCTTCTATTTACTTAATCTCTCTCCCATTCTTCAAAGGCAGCAATCTATCAACAAACTAAAACATAATAATCTAGAAAAAGACTACTGCAATGACTAGAAACTTAACAAATACCAACAATTTACTTAACCAATTTTTCACACTGACCCATTTGAAATTCGAAAACATCTTCAAAACAATTTCGAGTTGCTAAACGCAATAATCAATATTGCATTAAACAGTAATTAGAGAGTACTAATATAAAACAATTACTGTTTTGGTCTCAATAGTAACAGAAATCAGTAAATTAACCTGCACTTCGCAAATTAATATCAATTCCTGACAATTCTTCTGCCGCTAATTCTGTTGTACTGTAAATGGATGCACCACATTCGGAAACTACGCTAAAATTAATTATAAATCATTGCATATTATTAATAAGCGATAATAATTTGCAAACCACGAATGTTTCGGATATTTCAAATCGTCTTGAAGTAAGATATGAAACAATTACAGTCAAATACAGAAACAACCAACCAAAATTTCGCACCAATTATACCGCGCTGAATTAACGAAGCTATGAAGACCTGCGTTTCTCGACTTGCAGTACCATTTCCAACAGCTATTACGAAAGGAGAATTAACTGCTTTTGATGCGAGCGTTTTCAATATTTGCTGGGCTCGTTCATCCGGACCCCAGTGCTTGGCGTCAAGTCGACGTAAGTGAAATACTGCTGTTTGAAGTAGGTCACCTGAACTAGCATATAGCCTTAACACAGTCAAAAAAGTCACAAATTATAGCAGTAGGTTGATCTCTCCTTCTATTTTTTGCATGATAAAATTATGAATGTCACAGAAATGAGCAACTTGATTTTTCCGCAAGTTTTATTACTATCTATTCGTATAAAAAATACCGTTATCATTGACCAATGCACATTTACATCCATGAGAATATCCGGGATCAATCGCAAGTACTGCATAACCTTTTAGAGGAGCCGTGAGCAGCAATTCGCGAAGGTTTTTGGCAAAGCAGTCGATTGCCGAATTTTCTGCTCGATCAAGTAATTTCTTTCTAATATTTATAAAGCAAGTGAATGAAACGACTAAAAAAATGATAGCAATGATATGAATAAATATTTATAGATATATTTTTAGGTAAAGAAAATATTTCAGTTTACCGAACTCTTCGTTCAATTGAAGGTATAAGGAAACGTTTCGTAGAATCCTGGACAGCTTTTTTGAGCAAATCTACATGTTTAAGATGAAAGTTGAGTTTTAAGCCTGGATGAACTCTTGCAATACTATCATCTACAGCTATTTTCCAGTTTATGATTTCTTTCGAAGAAGCTCGTTCCAGAGCTAAAATCTGCAAAAATGAAGAACAACAATAGAGGGAAAAACTAAACACTGAAAATTAAATTCATTTCTAATATTGATTGCTGACAAAATGTATAATATCTTGGAACAAAAAGATCTCACCTGAAAAGGTTGAACAAATCGAACATCTTTTTCAAAATTTAGATATAATTTGAAATGATCGAGCAAGGGAAAATCCTTGTCTATTTCTTTTAAGACTTTTGCTTTTCTGGTAAGTGTCGATTTTACGTTTAAACGAATATTCAAATGATTGTTTAGTTCAGCTCTGAAAACCACCCTTAAAATTAGATAGACAAAATGCACTCGATCACTTTCATTTTATCAAATGATGCCTAATTTAATCTGTTCGTATAAAGCCAATACATATCATAAAAATGTATCTTCCTTTCCCATTAGCAATATTAATAACTCCTTAAAAAAAAATAAAATGCACTATAGTTTGTGGCAGTGGGAAGTTCTTTGTCTATATCCATAATTAATCATCTGTAAAAACAATATGATTCAGTGTGCTGTAGAATATTTTAAGACGGATACAATCATATTATAACAGAGTAATCACTAATGAAAAAAGTAAAACATAAAAAGTCAAGTTGTATTTGCAAACTCGATATATAAGTTGTCAATTAAAAAAGTAGAATTTCATTAATCAGTTCACTGTGATGATTTCTAAAATATGACCAATACCACCACTAAACGAAGTTTCAGTTACGCCACACAAATACGAGTAATTGGAAATAATGAAATATTTAAACCTACAATTTTTGCAATAAAATTTGCGTTTCCTCTAAGCGATGTAATTCATGAGATAACAGATGTACTGTCTCCTCTTCTACTTTTGCCAGTGTATTTAGTTCTAAAGGACAACATATTTATGAACTATTAATTACAGTAACCCAGTGAAGATGAAGAGGAAGAATAGAAGTTCCCTCTCACCTTTAATTGTTATAAGGTTAACACTCGTTGTTTTTAGTTGAAAATGTGTCCGGATAATAAAATTCTTTATACCCAATGCCAATAAAAAGCTAGCTAATTATTTAACACAATTCTCTATTTCATCGAAAGAAATGATTGCAGCAGTTTTTTAAGCTTCCAACAACTTCATTACAATCAAGAAAGGTAAGGGAATTTAACGAAATACTTCATAAATACCTGGTTTAGAACCAACGAAACGTTGAAAATTAACATATTCTCCACCACAGAGCTTTTGACAAATCTCACCAACACCCAATTCACTGCAAATATCTTAAATTCTATACACCGTTGTTGTTTCAATATAAGTTCTGCTTCCTCTTTTTTTATACGTTCATTTAGCTGAATATTACGAGGCAAAAAATTACAAATTACGCACAAAAGATTTTGAAAACATACGCTGCTCTTGAAGCCAAAGAACCTCTTTTGGCTTTTTTGAAAGGTTCGAATAAATTGTCCAATTCACCAGCATCCATTGTTTTTGAAAGAGCGTCCTTCACCGACTCCTTCAAGGTACCATTTTCAATTTCAGCATCAGCTCGCTTTAAAAGTTTTTCTGCTTTAGCTTTGATGGCTCTGAAATGCTGATCTAGATTTTATCTACAGAATCGAAACAAAGATTAAAAGTCAGCATTCCGTGTGATTATTTGGAAAACAAGCTATGATAAACACACTTTGCATTCTTGAAGGTTTCCACTGCATGCCTCAAATCATCAGGTGTTGCTCCACCAATTAAATGCCGTCGATAACGGGCAATAAATGGTACCTCACATCCATCTTCAAATAACTGAACCAATGATCGTGCCACGTCTGCGGAAAATCCCATCTTAAAATCTGATTTGCATATAACTTGAACAAAATCTATCTCCTAAAATTTGATTCTTCAATATCGAGTTTATTTGCCATAAGGCAACGTCAAATAAATGAAAATTTAAACTAGTTAAATAATTCTACGACTACTCCTGGTAATATTAAATGAATTAGAAAGGAAATATACGCATAACATCAGTCGCATACCTCTAACGCAATAAATTCATCGATAGTCCACCGTACGAAAGACATCGTTTTTGGTAGAAGTGCCTTTTGAAATTCCTTCTTCCTTCTTAAATATATTAATTATTCAAGAACTTTTTTCAAAACTGCGCCAGTTCATTCACACTGATAGCATACAGAAATTCCACCCTTAGCAACGAAATTCAAATCGAAACCACCCAATACATGCAATTTATTTTTAAAGGTACATTATTCCATAAGTGGCAGACAAACAGTCACAAAAATAGAGTGTAATAAGCGGTAACTAATACCGTAGAGAACCATAACTACAATTTTATCGATGGCATAGCCAAACCTTCCACATTTACTTCGCTTCATGAAATGCGAATTTCAAAAACATAAATTTTGGAATACTTCGAAACACTGAATCTTGATTTTACCACCGCGATTTGGTCATGGTGAAAAATACGCTAAATTGAAAATGGAATATTCCAAAAGATATATCAGTGAATAAATGATCAAAAAAAGTGTTATACAAAGATTGTAATTTCAGTTTATTCACAATTCCATGCACTGAGATCAATTGAGCAGTGTCGATTTATGGAATAATATAAATACAGTTTCGCAAAAATATTGTCGTGCATTGAATTATATGGATACAGAGCACAGCAACTTGTCAAATCTGATTCCCCAAGGAAATTTCGCTTTCAGTTTGACTTTTGATGGGGAAAGATCGGGAAAGAAAGACAAATCGAGAAGAAGAAAGGCGGGGAAGAAAGACAAATTAGCAGATTTCTTTAACGACCACAGTTGTTACCAAAAAGAAAGACTAAAAACCGTTTAATTTAGAAACCCAGAACTATAACACCCACACATTTACATTACCCATTTGCCAATGTATTTGTTATAAATTCAATGAGTCAAAAATTTTGAAATTTGCTGAAGGAATCACTGATCTGCCATATTTACATAGCCAAGGTTACGGTATGCACTGCGTCGCGCATTGTGCGCTGCACGAGAACGAAAACTGCGGTCCTGGATAAAGTTAGCACGAGCACAGTATTGTCCCAATTCATAGAACCATGAATGCAGGAATGTTTCTGAAATACGAGAGATTGTTCTACCTTATTTTGCGTAATGAAAATACCGACTCGAAAGAAATAATCCAATATATGAACAGCAATAACAATTCTTATTTACTTATCAATTTTCCTTGCTTAACAAAGATTCAAAAAAGCCGAAGAACGTTAAATTCTGATCTACCCTCAATGCACATGATATTTATGACTTACCATCCCTTGCACGAGTAAGTTGTCCCTCGTCCGATGAAGACTGCTCTCCTGCGCTATTTTTCGATTTGGTCAGTTTGTTATTCTAAAAATATGCTAGTCATAAGCCAGAACGAAAAAATCATTCCCAAGCAAAAAAAAAAGTGTCAGACATATATTTACAAAACAAAATATCCACGATGGCTCAACAAAAGTGTAAAATTCCTAATCAAAGAATTTTAAACACAGTAACATTTTGCTGGAGCAATTTTGAAAAGTGTCAAACTCACTGTACGGATTTTAATTGGACCTTCTTTGACCGGTGATGTAATCATATCAATAACGCGATCATAGGTGGGTCCATTTTTTCTAGGTTTCTTCTGAAAAAAGTAACCTGTGATTCGATGAAACAACTTGCAAATAGAGAATCACATATGCAATGCAGTCCTAGCTACGTTTCAAAAGGTCACTTTAGGTCACTAGTTTTGGAATGAATACCTCCTTCTAAAATGAACTAAAAATGCATTGATCTATTATAACGATGTATTTTCTTTGTCATCAAAAATCCGCGGCAGGATAAAGTCAGAATCACAACATCACAGTCGCTGTGAGCTCAACTTTTGAGCTGTCATGGATTTCTGAAGACCTTTTACCATTTGCATCATCTTCCAGTGTTAATGCTATTATTTATTATCCTACTTTATTACTCCATTCTGAAATGTACCCAGCAGGGCTATTGTGTTGATCGGTATAACTGATTTCCCTATAATTTATTCAAGTCTCCAAAAAAAATTGACAAAACACACAATAGCACTTACAGCTTTTCCTCCATACGGCCCTTCTTCAATGCAGTTCGTCATCATACTGCCATTGTTAACACGCTCTATGAATTCGGACTGGAAATTATTTATTAGACATCAACTGACTATGTTAATCATTGATCTATCACGCTTAATCAATTCATTAAGATGTCAGTAGCTGCCGCTATATAAAACAGTAGTAAAAGACTCACAGCATATTTTCCAATACAATCAAACTGTCCATCAAACAGATGATCTAAAAAAAGACACGATATAAGGCATTTGAGATACATATTATATTTTTCTTTCAAACAAAACAAATCAGACCATAAGTGTGAATGGTATAGGATCGGCAAACATTTCCGCAAGTTTTTATATTTTAGGAAAAAAACCACTTCAAGTCAGCTTAGAAAATAGAAAATTAATGCTGGAAATCAAACTTTTGATTGAAGTACGTCAATTTTCTGGATTTGAAGCACTCAAAAGTCAGCGAAATAATACAGATTTTACAGACCAACAATGATTATCAAAAGCGCAGTGATGTCACTACATAAGAATCAGTAGGCGATGAAACACAACCCATGATACGATATACATAAAAATTTGAAAAGAAAACATACTGGAGTAATAGTTTCTAAGCTCTTCATCATCGGAAATACTTCGTCCCGCATTTCGATTTCCATTAATAATCTTCTAAAATTCCTTTTAAATACTTCTTCTACGGCCAATAATGAACAAAATACTGTTTCATAAAAAACTTCATTGTGTAAGAGGGATCGCAAAAAAAAAGTCATTTCTCTGGATATAGCAGCAAATCGAACAATCTATGATAAGCCGTTTATCTAAATTTCAAGTTAAAGTATACGAAGACACAGCAAAAATTACCAGAAGTATGCGTTTGCCATATTCATTTTCAAAATCCTGAAAAGATTTGAAATACATAATGAATATTAAGATAAGTGTAAATCATTTAAACAAGAATTTCGCAATACAATACGTACTAAATTCATATACAGTTCTCACAAGGGCACAAATATGAACATAGATATAATTAAACCTTACCTCATTGAGGCGTTCACAAACTTCTGTGTTGCTTCCATCCTTCAATTCCACCACCGGTGATGAAATACTTGCATCCCCGAAATCTCTCTCTAGCGCTTCATAGGCCAATTCACGCCTATTTGATGCGTTACAGTACCTTTCCGCAATGCGATCAAGGTTAAACTGATATCGAGACCACGCCATCATATACTGGTCTTCTTCACACATTTTTAAAATCACTGAAATGTTGCAACATACATACCCTCCCATAAACATTACTTGTAAAAATGAATAACAGAACCGTCAATTTAACATCATCTGTATGATCACTAGGTAATCTCTACTTATGACAATTCAATTATGTCGAATTTTCGGAGTCAACTAAAAGCAAAGTTCACTGCTGTAGCTTAATGGCAGCACTATGGCAGTTTCCAGCAACCTCAATCTATCAACTTTTGTTATCTCTTCAACCGTAGCACTATGTCCCAATCTTAAACACTTCTACGATGATAAATTGCAACAATTTTTTTCGAACCCCTTTTTTTCGTCACCACTGTGTAATTTGCTAGTACTCCACTCTAAGCTAATATTCGCTTGTTTCTAATCTTGAACTTCAACTCTTTCCTCCTGATCTTTGCCATCTTTAAAGCCACTTTATCCTTCATCTCATTTTAGTAATGATTTGAAGTTACGGTAACAAAGACAATCTCAAACAGACTGACGTGTACTTTTGAATGCATATTTGTTTTATAATGACT